GAGATTTGAAATAAATTATTTTATTTAAAAATGGAGGCAAATGTCATATCACACTTTAAACTTACCCTAAACTGCATTAATGGAATTGCAGAATTTGACGGACGCGACCCAAACCAATTGACGGACTTTATTAGACAGGTCGAAGACATACTACCCACAATAACAATCTTCGACGAAAACCATCAAAGAATATTGTTTAATTACTTGAAAGGAAGATGTGTAGGAAAAACTAGGGAAATAATTCATAGATACGGACAAATCAATGACTGGGAAACACTGAAACCAATACTTTTGAGCAATTGCGGGGAACAGAGGAGTTCAACGGAACTAATGGACGAGTTGAAGACCACCAGACTCGATTCCACAATTGAAAATTACCACTTTAGAATTAACAAAATTAGGAACAAACTACATAATAGAATATTGGCGCATAATGACTTGAGCTTTTCAACGGAAGAAGTCAACAGAATAGCGCTACAAGCATTCAAAGAACATCTTCCAAAGCCTACAAAAACAATGATTATAGCAAGAAACCCTGATAATCTAGATAAAGCGTACAAAATCATCTTAGAAGCTCGACATCAAACCTTTACAGCACTTGGGCAAACAAGGAAAGATCCAAACCCAAATAGCTACCGTAGGACTAATTTTAGCGATAACACGAATAATAGGACATCGTTTGGCTCTAATCAATATATAAATAACANATAGCAGTCGGCTGCTCGTAGACGAATGTGACATATATTTACCAAAAAAGAATTCATATTATTTACATATGTATATGGACAAAAACGAAAACTGTTCAAAATTCAAATATTTAGATATTTTTATACCTTTGCATAAAGAAAGACGAAAATTCATATTATTTACATATTTACATACAGATACAAAAACGAAAGCGCATGACCTTAACATATTTTTCTAATAAATATACCGTTCATTCACGTCACTTTTTTCGGGTCTTATAGCCGCGCTTTGGATTGTAACCCTGGATCGGACTACCACTGGCTTCGCCTTGCACAGTATTCTTAAGTGAAACTTCTTTGTAAGTTGGCGGCCTTCGGGCGCTTTTTGATTGTAACCCTGGGCCGAAAGTGTAGAATAATCGAGTTGTTCGCTATCGAAGGTTCTCGTTTTATCGTTCTAGAATGTACTAGTTATCGGCTTCTCTCTTTCATCTGACATTCGCCTCGCATTTTCGCAACACTGCTCTCCTCCTAAGCCTGATCGTCCCGATCAGACACATTCGCTGTTCCAAACTCAGCAAGCCTCTTTAGGTAGACCACTTTTATCTTGTTTCTTGTACTCCCAACGGTTTGGATTCGATACACTACGTCGTTAAGTCGTTAGATTATCTTGTATGGACCTTCCTAATTACATTGAAGTTTTGAGTACAAACCCCTCTTCCGTTGTGGATTGTACAGCAACACCAAGTCTCCATTTTGGAAACCTTCGGAGTTCATCGCCTTGTCATACCTGTCCTTCATTTTGTCACTCATAATTTGAGTTCGCTGTCTCACAAGAGCATGCACCTCTCTTAGCTCTTCCTCGAGATTGGTAGACGTTACCTTCCCAATTCTTCTCGCATCGCCAGTTGTTCCAAATTTTAAATCGCTGGGCAACCGTAGTTCACTACCAAACAGTATCCTCGCGGGTGTTTGCCCTGTAGTTACATGCACGGCGGACCGATACCCCATCAGGAAAAGCGGTATATGCACATCCCAATCATCCTGATGCTTGTCCACTACTTTCCGCAAGTGCTCTTCTAGGGTCCGGTTGAATCGCTCTACCATACCATCTGATTGAGGATGTAGGGCTGTCGTTTGGCTGTCTTTTCGAATACCAAGTATTTGGCACATCTCCTGGAACACCGCCGATTCAAAGTTTCTTCCCTGATCTGAGTGCAATTCTATAGGCGCACCGTATCTGGTAACCCAATTGTTAGTGAATGCAACCGCAACTGTTTTTGCTTCTTGGCTTGGTATTAGGTAAACTTCGGGCCATTTACTGAAGTAGCCCATAACCACAAGAACGTATTTGTTTCCTTGTTTGCTCATAGAGAATGGACCAGCTACATCCATGGCAACCCGCTTAAATGGTGCCGACAGCCAACCCAATAGAACCGCTGCTTGATCTTTTCCAGCGTTTTTGTAATGCCTAGGTGCCCTCCACTAGGACCGTTATGGAATTCCTTAAGAACATCCGAAATTCTTAACTTCGGAACTACTATTGGCTCACGGGAGCACTGGCCATCTTCATTTTCCCACACTCTATGCAAACAGCCGGATATCAGCTCTAAACTGTGTCATTGCGCTCAGTATGCCTTCGCGATAGGACTTGCCGCAGCCATTTGTTCCTTACTTGGTTGTCTATTTACCTCCAACCCGTGCATTAATAATTCTAAATTTGGATCTTCTTGCTGACATTTCCTTAAGTTAATTACCGCCCACTCTTCTGCTTGCGTAACTTTCATTTGCCGGACGTGTATTATGTCTTCTTTACCCTCAGCTTTTGAGCCATGTTTCCATTCTATATTACACGGTCGAAGGGACATAGCATCAGCATTTCCGTGCGTATTCCCCTTGCGGTGCTCGATTGTGAAGTCATAACTTTGAGAAATTGATGGTTCATCTTCCTCTGCATTCCGTTTTCGCTGTACCTCCTGTCTGCTGGAACTTGTTTTGCATTCGCGTGCGAAGTGACCTGGCTTTCCATATTTAAAGCATTTTTCCGCTTGAGTCTTGAAACCAAAACGATACATCTCTTCTAGCGATTTCAGAGCTCTCAATATTTCCGTCATCACATCTGGTGTTCCAACTTACACTTTATTGACTTTATTGTTGTTGTTGTTGCAGCGGTTCGCTAACCCCGCTTAGGCACAGGTTTGATCAGTCAGAAACGAGCTGTTTCGACGAGGTTGGACCAAAGGGAGAGGGGGGTTAGATGAGTGGGTTTGAGGGGGCATGTGCGGTAGCATCCCAGTAGGAACTGCTTGCACAGCAAAGAATTATGCTCCTTAACTCGTAGCATAGATGCTTCCCTGTGCAAGTGATGCTCCGGCGACATCAGGAGGTTTCCTGTCGCAGTCCTGAGGGCGGTGTTTTGGCAAGCCTGTAGCTTCTTCATCTGCGTCCCGTTCGTCCCCGGCGTCCAGATCGGAGCAGCATAGTTTACGACCGGCCGGCCAATTGCTTTGTAAGTAGCCAG